ACGTTCGCGAAATAATGATTGTAATGTTCGTAAGCTTTAATTATATTGGGGATAATTTATGAAGTTTGAAAGTTAACATCTCTTGTTATTGTTCTTTTCGAATCGTAAAATGTCACCACTTTTCTGCAAATAATAAAAATAAAATTGTATTGTGCTTTAATTCCTCGCATTATAAATGGGTTTTTATAATTGTTGCAGTCGTAATCTGATAAGTTTTTAAAAAGAAAAGTGAATTATTGAGAAAGCAATTTTTCGATGACAATATGAACACGAGAACCGGTCGTAAATTAAGCTCACGAGTTGAGTGATAATTAAATAATTTATTTACAGTCGGTCGTATGTACACCGTACATGTAAATTACCGTTGTTATGAATTATGAAATTTCATATTGTAATAAATTCAAGTCAGGCATTAAGCAGCGAGTCTTTGTTACTAGTGTTATCGAAATATGAAACACAACACAATAACGTCTATCTTAACCTAAATATAGAAGTGTACAATAAATTTGCATTGCAAAACTGTAATTAACTGTAAAATAAATCTACCTATGCATATTCATCGGTGGCAGAAATGAGGAAACGTTGCCTCAGATCGATTAAAATATTATTGTTATTCCCAGTCACCCTCGTTAACCTTCCTCCTGACCCTGTCGTTAATCTTTAAATTTGTTTTGACCGACGAAAAAAATCCACTTCGATCCCGATGTCGCAATAAATATTACCACAGAGAGCGACCCCTCAAATCGAACACGATTTATTACTTCATCGATTTCGAATTATATTCCTCCTATTTCGTGTTTTAATCGCTCGACCACTTTTTCAAATTCAAATTTCATCGACGCGAAGCTTTGAACTTTGAACGACTCTCGTTGTCATTTGGAATTAATTGTTTCGATTATTTTCCAAAAAAGAGGGCGAAAAGTATGTCATTACGTTTCAAGGAAAGTAATTTTGCAAGAAAAACAAAACGAGAAATGTGGCAAGACTGAAAGATATATTGGGCATAAGCTCGACATGGGGCCGTATTAATCACGAAAGCACGAAAATGCTAATTAAAGATTCCATAGAGTTGCGTAAATTTAAACGGTTTTAACTCGGAGTGAGAGCGATGAAAATCCACACAAAAGGACAATACGACTAAATTGAAAATAATTGTTTTTACGAGGACTTCCAGGCGGCAGTTTCAATAATAATTTCGTATTAAAATAACGAACGCACACATCTGTTGCCATAAATTCCCCGTTTCGTCTATTTTAATAAAATTTTTATTCAAACGTTGCATTTCTGCTTTAATATTAATTTATTCAATGTACAGACTAAGGTTAAACATGCAAACAGTTATCTGAAATTACCGAGACTCGATTCTTTAGGCTTCGTAAATTTTTAACCTTTTCCGGTTAATTTTCCGGATTCTTTTTAACGGAATTAAGTTTCCTAAACTGCTTTATTAATTATTCAATTTATTGCCTTACAATACAAACTTTTCGTATAACTCGGAAGATTTCTATTCGGTGGAAATTTTCAATTCACAGTTATTGAAAACATAATTAACGAAGTCAACAAAAAACAAAGAAAAAACAAACAAAACAAAAAAACATAACACGCGAATAATAGATCAACAACACGAATAACTATTGGAAAACGGCCAAAAATATATAGTATTTATTATCCGTGTTATTATAAACCTTGATGACCGTGTAAAGTCTGTCTATATTTGCTTGAATTTTATGGTTTTGACTTACCAAACTAGTCTATGAGTAATTTAATGAGAGTGGTCGTAAAGCTATTGTTACCAAAACGACCAGCTGACTGTTGAAGCGACCTCGAAAAAAACAAACTTTTACAATTGAGAGGTTGGGGTTTCTTTATCGCTAAAGGCCCAAAAAGTTAATTGCTTCTATTGCAACATAAAATTCAACCAAATATAGACTTTAGTAACAGAAACTCTTGTTGCTGTATTTTGAAATCCTTATAGTTTTGTTCTAAGTATGTATACAATAGAGAAAATCACTTAAAAATTTTGTTAATTACTTAAACCAGATTAGAACAAGTTTCTCACTGCAGTCCAATTCCACAATTGTGCAACGCATTTTATTTACATTTTACCAGTTTACCGGTTCCAAAAATTTCTGGCGATTTATTTTAAAAAAATGCAAAAGCGTGGAAATTGTAGGACAACCAAAGTCAAAAGAGCTATAACAGAATCATAAAATTTTGCAATAATAGCTCACAGCCAAATCATAGATAATATGTATTTGTATTCCTATGTTTCATTTTCCCATATTTGAGTGCTTCTTATGTAAAATACTGTGAAAAATCTAAATAATATTCTCAAAATTCCTATTTCTTTAAGCCGTTTTAAAAAATAAAAGAAAACACTTGATTGGTCTCTTAATTTACGAATGTACTAAATAAAGGCCATTTAAAGTAACAGATCTTTCCTATTTTGTGAATATTAAGGACTAATTAGTAAAAAAATTGTTGAGTCATCACTGAAAGGTATAATAATAAATATCTAGCTTTTAGAAAATCATGAAAAATCCTTGATGGACTTTATGTGTGTAAAAAACAAAAAGAAGTCTTCAATGGTCGCCGAGAGATATATTGAAGATTCACTGGCAAGCTAGAACAGAACCGCTGCCTTCTAATACAGAAGAAGTTGTTGAAGAAAAAAAATCTTTTTAAAGTTATTTTAACTGTCCAAATCGTTGTAAATATTTTCATGAAAAACGAGTAAAAATCAGCCTATAACTGCTTAGATATGGAGATTTTGTCCCTAAAATCGTAATCTTTGTGCAATTTTACGCTTAGAAAACCTAATTTGCTCTTGTTGCTTCAAGTCATCACAACGTTTCCTCTTTTTAATTTGCGAGGAAAAAATACGGTCGTAATTAAATTTCGTCTTGTTTTACAGGATTCTTGTTCCATAAATTGGTAAAACTAGGTCAGCTGATAGCAGTTTTATAAAACCAATAACAAAAATGCATAAAGGTTATATAAACTTGAATAAATTCGGATTCGACAAGAAACACAAGAAATTCGATTGTGTTAAGCATACGTTGAATGATGCCATCGGGAATCGTTCTAAATAGACTAAGAATAAATTTAAAAAGAGTAATAAAATTCGGGATTTCAAACAATTTCTGTTTATCTGGGGTTTGTCTGAATTTCCTTCGGGGGCGTCCGAGTTATAAACATTCCTTCTGTTTGTTTAAAATACGGAATTCCCTCCCGTACCATAACAGCGGAAAATAAGGCCTTATTGACATGTAAATTGGATGCTAGTCCGTTTTCATTTTCTCTTCAATAATTTCAATATTGTTGAAAGCTGTTGTGATAAGGTCCAAAAACAAATCACAATTTTATTCATAAATAGAAAAAAGCGAAGCTTTTATGTAAAAATGTACATTAGAAGTCGAAAATCCTTCTGCTTATGGCAGCCCCCGGCCATCGAGTCTAGATATTATCAAGTTTATATGCGAATTAAATTAGAGTTTGATTGGGGCAGACTGTAATAATAGCCGTTCAGAAGCAGACTTGGCAAATCTAACTTTGCCCTTTCAAAACTGATACGTAATTAATAAACTAAATCTCAGTTCGGTTTCTTCACCTCTGCGATAATTAATTCCGGTCTTAAATGAAAACAGATGGGTGTTGCGGTCTGGAGAATTTCGTTAAAGAGCCGAGGAAAAAAAGTGTTTTTGTTGGTCAATTAAAATTTAAAATCCAATTCAACTTTTCCACAAGTTGCTTCCTTACGTAATGGAGGCGGTCCGGCCCTTAATTATTTTACTCTAAAGGAATTACGGCCGCTTTTGTCCCTCTGTACAGCATGTACTTTTCATTATCTCGTCGAAAAAGCCTCGAGCGATGATCAACAAAAGCCCTTTTTTAAAACACAAAACGCTTCTTTCCGCGACGAGCCTCACGTAGACCTTGAGATAATTGAAAAATGAAACAAAGTGTATTGCATTCGAAATGATTTAGTGCTCGGGCTGTTATTGCATTCTGGCCGGGTCTCGACGAGTTTAATTGATAAATACTCGTACGTGACGTTAAATGTAATTCCGTAATTTTATTTCCGACTTAAATAATAGCTTCGAGATTTCGCGGCAAATTATTTATTTCGGCCGTCAAACGCGCCATGATTTAAACATTCTCCCGAATCACGCGCGATTTTTTCGCCTCACTCCCCAAAAGGATAAGCTTATTAAGGAATCCGAAACAAAGCTTTTTCATTTCACGCCGAGCCAAATCGAAACTAAGCCGCTTACTTTTCCGCACAAAAGAGCCGGAAAGAAAACAACCCACGAGGCTGTTAACTGTTACTGAACAAACGATCTGATTACAGACAAAATGAACTCCAAAGTGGGTATCGCGGCCGAACATAAATCTGATAATTTATTGGACTAAGCGCCGGATACGGCCATAACTTTAGATTCCGAACGCTAAATATAAATAAATACCGGACACAGCTCGACGCTATTTTTTAAATAACACCTCTATATGCCCGACGGCTATTTCTATTATCCTTTATTTATTTCGCGCGAATTTTGTAAGCGCTATTGATGGCGTCGTTACAAACCATTTTTAAATCTAACTCGTATTTACTCAGGCTGGCTCGTGCACGGCAATCACCTCGTTATTACCCTTTTTTTCGCTTTCCTTTCTTTCATTCCACACATTTAAGCACTAATTGTGCTGAACCAACATTTTTCTCTAAAAATATTCACCAGCTTTGAGACGAATTCTTCCCGAGCTGTGTTGAAAAACGCTCCAAAAAAGTGAATATTTTTTCATAAAAAAAAATAAACTTTTTATAGTATGTTATTCAACGAGCCTACAATGATGGCTATTATTCACGAAGGTGAAGTTTAAAAAACGAGTCGTATACGAGTTTTTGAATCACCTGAGTGATTGATTGGTAGCCATTATATGCTAGTAGAGTGCTATGCTTTATCTACGACTACGAAATCTTTTCGTTTTTTGGTATTGACAAAGCTGACGTATTAATCTAATTAAAAAATGTCAAATCTCGTTTAAACACTAGCCATACGGGGAAGAGTCGTGGAATCTAAACTGTAGTAGAATACGAATTTATATTCCACGGAGTGTAATATGAACAAAATTATGTGTCTATGGATACGTCTATAGTAATGATAATAGTAATAAAAATAAGGTTTATTGTGGATCTATATGTTGGGATACATTAATTCAACAAAAAAATGCCAACCATAAATTAGAACTGGAAAATTTTAAACTGAAACAGTCTTTGGTAAGATAATACAGTAAAAAGTAATTTATACATTTTGTTAACACTCTATCTGTTTAAAACTAATTTGCTAATTCCTTGGTAAATATTTTAGGAGAGGGCAGAACTGGAATATCACGGAACCAAAAAACTCTCAGCTCGAGAAGCTCTCGAACTCTTCGAAAAACGTCATGTTTTCAAGAACAAAAATAAAAATTTTAGTCCACTAGAAAAGTGAAGATTATTCTTAATTGAAGATGTGGGAAAAGAGTTTCAGAAATGAGTGTTCCATGCAAAGTGTAATACTCCTGTTCCAGACATTCCTACTCGCATCTACGATATCGTCAGTGAGGGAATCAACTATTTATTTCGAAGAATAAATGAAAAAAAATTATCTGATAAAATCAGAACTAAGTCATTGTATCTCGTGTTTCTTCAAACTGTCTGCTCAGCAGTCCCGCTTAGCCCCTCTGATGTTAGAAAATAGTCTCAATTCGTTTTCTCGCCTAGAAGAAAAACTTAATATACCTATCATACTTGTTATTTTTTTTTAATAAAAAATTTATAGCAACTGCAATGAGTTGAAAGTCCTTTTCCAGTTTCCTTGGTCAACATCCACCATCATACAATACTAAGCTTTTGTGTATCAGTGATTCAGTAATCTATCCTATCCTATCCTGGTCCAGAAGTAACATTTCAGGTTCTACTATGGTTAAATGATTGCCGCGCTTCCTGACTATCCACTCCAAACCGGAAATACGACGACAAAAAAGAAAATATTGCTCAGGAAAAGATGAAGGTTGCAAGCTTTCAGGAAATGAAACCACGTCTCAAGGACATGAGAAACAGTATACCGAAAAAATTAAGTGAGGAAGAAGGTAAATTACGAACGATATAACGTATGTTGGAAAATGATTCAATTATACAAATCTGGCAGCTCGCATGCAAATGACTGGCAGTTTGCTATCTTGAGCGCCATATATCATTTCTAGTACTAAATTTGGAAAGTTGTGCTACAAATTGTTTACATTTCGAAAGCAGCAAGCAATTCGTATACTGGATTAGCGAATTCGTATAAATATGTATGAGGAGTGTATCTGTCGAGTTAAGAACAAACATTTTTATTTACATTTATTGAATTCTATTGGCAATTGTTCCAGCAAGTTGTAAAACTGGAAATAAAATTCGAAACGTAAGCCAAAACAATATAGAATATTTCTCTCGTATAGTCTCGCAGCTTTCTCATTTTTCTCATTCATGGCGTCGTAAAAACGGATCGTTTGCGCGGTTTTACAAAAACATTGCATCTTTTACCCTTCATTAAGAATAATTAAAATAATTTCAATTAAACTCAAACAGGGCTTCCGGATAATAACGAGGATTACGGCTTCGCTAGTGGTCCTTGGGGTTTCGCTACTTTCGACAGGGCCGGCTCTATCACCCTTTCACAAACAAAAATTAAAAAAATAGCATCACAAATTAATCAAAAGCGCCCACCAAAACCCTATCTGCCCACACACATTTCAAATATCAGCTGTAAACTATTAATCATCAGCTTAAGCCAACTCTGTGTTTCATCGAGGAGAAACCGTGTAATGTATTCAGAGTTTCGTAACAAAACCAAGTCGGCCGGGCCACATTCATTGACCCGTTATCACATAGAATTATTGCAAATATTAAACCTTAGACTGGGCTTACGCCAGAACGAAAGGTTCAGCCCTTGTCCTAATAAATTTGCTTTAGCGTGTAATTTTGTTTGGGACTACTCTTGAAATAAATTGAATGAGAATAAATGATTTGATTTATGCAGTCCGACCTCGACGTTACTCCGCACATAAATCATCAACATTTTTCTTTCAAGGCGATCATAGCAATTTTTTCGCCTTGGCAGAGACGGAAACGGAAAAGACAATTATGCAATGGAAGTCGAGAACAAACTCGACAAAAAAGTGAACATTGTTTTGTGGAGTTTATTTGGGAAGTCGAATAGCAAAGCGCTAGTTTATCTATCGAAAGATTAATTTCGCCCGGCGCATCCACCATTTTCATTTTTTTTTTAAAGTTAAGTGTATTTAAAATTCAAATTGAATTACCAGTATATTAAGTGACACTTAAAGCTTACTTAATTTTAAAACTAATAAACTGCTTCCTTTACTTCTCAATTTTTATGATAGTACTGCCCATACAATCAAAATTTTGTATAAAGTCAAATACAGATGACGTTAGATATTTAAATCAAATAATGCAAAATAAAAAGCTTTCCCGTAGAATCCCGTTCCATTATATGCACCCTCCAAATACAGATGAAAGCTGTGCCTGACATAAAACGGAATACATGTTTTATTCATTTTAATTGATACAAATACTTTTATTACGTCTCTGTAAATTTAATGTTTTCGATAAAATAAAAATGCTTAGCGATCCTGCTTCCCTTGTTATTTTATCTCAATTTCGTTGTGTTTGTCCAACGAAGCCCATCAATATTTCACAAAGTGTTCCTCCCCATCACGGTTTCGAAAAATAATAAAAGCTCGCACAGGTGATTCCGTATAAAAATAAAAGTGAATTCCGCCAGTCAGCGTTGCGTCGAAACAAGCGTGTAAACGCAGGTACAGGATCATTGTGTGTTGTGTTGACACAGCCGTAACGGCAGTAACTGGTAACTGTTATGGGATAATAGATAAACGAGACATTCCCTTTATCAAACAAGGACATCGGTCACATTACTAATGCAAATCGGCGCGCGAACACGCCGCTCCATGTTTGCCCTTGTTGAGCTGATTATCGTCCGTCAGGACATGACCGCCCCATTGGGGATCGAACCCAACTAGAGCAGGACGTAACACCCATCGATACGTAACAATATGTGAACGATGGCATTTAAAGGCCACAATCGTATCCCTACGCAGGATGATTGTGTGACGAAAGTTCAAAATTTTTAGCGAGTTTGTAACTGCCAAGGTCGCGAGCTTTAAAACCAAAAAGTTTGGATTATTCTCAAAGAAAGGAAAGTTTTGAAGTTAAATATCCGAAATGTCTTACTTCTTCTAAGTCTATTTTAACTACGACATTAATTATTTTCTTGGGGACAATATTTTAAATTCTTTAATTTCTTTGTAGATACTCGTATTATTTAAGATAAAACTGATGCAAAAAATAACAACATCAGGTGTCACTTTGATTGTGTCGTCGTCTCAGCTTAATTTTTATATTTTGTTGCAAAAGTGATTTCTATACCTAATTAATAGAGGGAAAACCCTGTCAAAAGCAAGTCCTCTATGACTCTTCAGCTTTCAGTTTGTCAACGTAGGTGCAATTTGCTTTATTTAGTTACCTTCTTACTCATTTATTTGTATTCTCGACATTATTGTTTATAAATTATTTAAAATTTATTTATTAATAAGGTGATATTAAATAAAATATGATTTTGTGAGTCAGGAAATAAAATTTAATTTAGTTATAATGATAAATGGGACACTCTAGCTTTTCTGCCGCTTCTGGTTCTTTTTCATAAAGCACTCATTTGCCAAACAAAGCTCTATTCTATTCTATTGTATTTAATTTTGTTTAGAAAAAAACACGTTTCGCGTAATTAGATAAAGGTCGATAAAGTTGTAATTTATCGAAAAAAGAGTAGACAATGTGTAACGACGGTGTGTGTCAATTAGAGATCGCTTTGATCTCAGTTTTTAGTAAGTTGTTCGTGTATCTTTTTTATTGCAACAAAGCTGCGAGTGAATCAAGTCCGGGTCCCCGGTGAAAATCCGATTGCTGATTGTGACACCCTAGAGAACGAGCTTTCGGAATCCTCAGTATCTCGTTTTATTTATTTATTTGTTTTTCGTTTTTCAGACGTTGTCGGCGTGAAGAGGTCCTTCGAATTAACAAAACCGCTCCGGTCCGACCCGAAAACAAATAAATAACTCGCGTCGTAATTACTTAAGAATGGAATTAATTTCGTCGCAAATAAATTAGGCGAAATTTAATATAGTTTATTGTGGAATTTATGGAGGCCAGATAAAGAGGGATACATCCGTAATACAGGGCCCGAAACTCTTTCGAGGCTGCCTTCGCAAACAATACATCATTATTTATCTTTCCATATGAATGCTCCGGCGAATGCAACAACCAAAAATATACCGCTTTAATAGGGATATGATTCGAATTTTATTCGTTCCGGGACCGTTTTAAATACACTTTTTTCGTAATAAGAATTGGTGATAAATTACGCAGACTCATTATCAATTTTTTTAACACAAACAAGATATTGATTAAAAAAGAGCGTCTTGATGTTCGAACAGCTGGATAAACATTTTTATTTCGAGCTGACTGCTTCTCTACATCTTGAACGAAAATATTGATTTTGGCGTTTTTTGTGGGATACTCGATGCAAATTTCGCCCTGAAGCAATTAGACCGTTTTCTCGACGAGGTTTTTGCGGAACGCTTACTTAATGCAAACTATCCGTGTGCGATTACTTATGTGATGTAAATGTGGCGATTTTAACATTTTCTTCCCATTTTAAAGGTTTATAGTTTCCAGTAGTCAAGTAAACATTAATTTTCAAAGATAGCGTTGGCCGGATTCAGTCACAAAGGACGACGATTCCTCCAGATAACTCCGGGAAAGGATCATGAATATGTATGCTGATGTGTTTTACCAACTTCTAAACTAATCCCAAAATTATCGTATAATCATCAAAATGTGACTTTTCCGGTCAACAGCTAATCTCAACTTTTATAAAATTAGCCTAATCTTATTGTTTTCACAAATAACGTTTCTGTTATACCCGTCAAACAAAGAGTATGGAACCAAACATCTCTTGTTTAATCTACTTATTTTTGAAAAAACTAAAGTTTTTCGAATTTTTTTTTAATGGCAACCCACTATAAAACCTCTTTTTTTGAATACGCTCCTGAAAATAGCTATTTTAGGAACCCATTTCAGTCCCTAAGATGAGTCTTTTCCGGACTCAATAAAATAGTACGTAAAATGGTTATTTAAGTCAATTTAGTGACGAATTTTAATTATTTATTATTATTTTCTCAAAACAAATGATTACAAAAAAACATTAAACTGAAGTAGAATTACCATTATTTGTGATTAAAAAGTTACTTGTACTTCTATTAGTAATTGCTTTCATACCAACATTTTTGTTATAAAATAACAAATTGAAAAACTTAAGATTAGATTTTTGTGACCACTCAGTCGCTGCACTTCGGACACTACGTGTGCATCAGCAATTGAAAGACCGATCAAAAAGGTCACGAGCATCGATCTGAGGGCCGATCTTGATTACGTTATGTAACCTTCGGAACGGCGTTCGAACGGAACTTATTAACACCGTTACTGAAATAGGTCGATAAAAATCAAATAAATCAGACCAGCAGGACGGTGTTTAGACGTCACAAAACTCATCTATTATTATCTATTTTTGATACATTCGCGAGAGTTTAAACCGAGTTTCATTATTCTCTGACAGGATCTGTCAAAAGATTAATAACGAACAAGTGGGTATTAAAGTCTTAAGCGCCAAATTAGGAAGAATAAAACAAGAAATGTGTAACTTGATATTTC